ATGAAGGGACAGAGGTAGATGTTATTTACTTAGATTTTAAAAAGGGCTTTGACACAGTGTCACACCCAATTCTTATAAATAAACTAAACAGTTGCAATGTAGATTATTACACAGTCTGGTGGGTAGAAAATTGGCTTATGGGACACACCCAGAGAGTGGTAGTGGATGGGTCGGTTTCTACCTGAAGGAATGTGGGCAGCGGAGTCCCCCAAGGCTCTGTCCTGGGACCGGTTCTATTCAATATCTTCATTAGTGACTTGGACGAGGGAGTAGAAAGCACCCTGTCCAAGTTTGCTGACGACAAACTATGGGGGTAGGTACACAAACTAGATGGCAGGGAGCGAATCCAGGCTGATTTGGACAGGCTGGGGAAATGGGCTGAACAGAATAGGATGCAGTTTAACAAGGATAAGTGTCATGTGTTGCACCTGGGGAGGAAGAATCATCAACTCTCCTACAGCCTGGGAGGCACCACTCTAAGTAGCACAAATACGGAAAGGGATCTCGGAGTCATAGTCAACTCTAAAGTGAACATGAGTCACCAGTGTGATGAGGTAATAAGTAAAGCTACCGCACCCTTTCTTGTGTAAGTGGGTGTATCACAAACTGGTCTAGGGGCATGATACTTTCCCTCTAAGTGGCATTGGTGAGGCCGCAGCTGGAGTACTGCGTCCAGTTTTGGGCATCGCACTTCAGGAGGGATGTGGATGGCCTGGAGAGGGTTCAGAGGAGGGCCACTTGTCTGGTTAAAGGCCTACAGAAAAAACCCTATGTGGACCGATTGGGAGATCTGAACCTCTTCAGTCTTCCCAAGAGGAGGCTGAGAGGTGATCTCGTGGCCACCTACAAACTCATCACAGGGGGGTAGGAAGAAATATGGGATACCATGTTTACCAGGGCACCTATCAGGGTAATTAGAAATAATGGCCACAAACTGGAAGAGAGCAAATTCAGATTAGACATCAGGAAAAAATTGTTTACAGTGAAGGTTGCCAAAATAAGGAATAAGCTTCCAAGGGAGGTGGTGCTGTCCCCTTCCTTGGAGGTGTTTAAAAGGAGATTGGACAGACACCTGGCTGGGGTCATCTGACCCCAGCACTCATTCCTGCCCAGGGCAGGGGGTCAGACTCGATGATCTAATAGGTTCTTTCCAACCCTAACATCTATGAAATGCACAATAACAACTGCTCAGTAGCACCTCATGTAGATGCGGCCAGTAAACATCTTGTTTAGATGCCCCCACTGATCTAAATAGAGGCCTCTCAGAATCAGAAGAATTGTTGCATACTGGAAGCACGAATCCTGGTGAGCTTCACTTTTATATTTCTCGTGTCTACTGGGACACAAATTGCATTACATCTTTGATCTGGATTTAGACTTCTATATACTTTGTACATAAATCTTACCTGCAAGCTGTCAACAAATGAGTTCTCTGATTCTTGCAAACTAGCTCTTGGAAGCAGAAGTTCAGGCAGTGACACCAAAAGCAGCATGAGTCAATATATAAAAAAGAATCATTGAGCACTGAAGCAAATAATTAGAAATAAATTATTATGCAGTGAAGGTAGCCATTTTTCTGTTTGTGAGTTGTTCTTGAAAGTACTCTCTTTTCTATGAATTCATTCTTTACCTGTAAGCAATTCCTAAAGTGTTTAGGCAACCTCTTCTTTGTATTTTTCAAAGGTGAATAACTTTAATATTAAGCTGCTCCTCATTTGAGATGATCTAAATCAGTGGCGGGCAAGCTCTTTGGCAGGCTGCCACAAATTAGACCTGCACCCTCCCCACGTGCTACTCCAGGCCCTTCCCCTTATGGATCTGCTGTTATGCTTTCTGCTTCCTGCCCTGTGTTCTCTTCCCAATCTGCTTTCTGCTCCTACCACTGTCACGTGATGTTTTTCTCCAATTAGTGACTGGAACTCTTGAAAGAGAAGAAGAATAGTATTATTTGCACACAATTATTCTCATTCCCACTGCATTTGTGCAAAAAACCCCTCCCATTCTGGAATCAATGGTAGTGAAACAAAAGAAGAAAAGAAACCTTTACATACAACAACTTAATAAGTTAATTTAAGTTAATGATTAACCCATCCTATCCTAACAAGCCCATCCAACACCCTGCATGGAAGTGGATACGCTACTGGTTTTAGAAGCATCCCATTCTGAGCAGTATAGCATAGCTGAGGATGCTCCTGTGGGGCCAACTAAGCTTATTGTGTATACATGATCATAAGTGCCTAGTCCACCTGGCATCTGTTTAAAAAAATCTGCAATAATGATTTGTATCTGGCCCTATGTGACTTGCCCAAACTCACAAGGAAAGATTTGCAGGAGAACGGGGAGATGATCCCTGGACTCCAGAGCATAGATTAGTACCTGAATCATTAAACTCCTTCAACCAGGTACCAAATATTTCCAGAGCTATTCACTCACACTTTTTCCTTGCATCATTTCAAATCTCTCTTTACAGCATTGAACCTCCGTTCTAGTGCCAGAGGCAACATCTCTTTGCTAGAAGATAAACCAGAAAAAAAACAATTATGTTAAATTATTCAGCTGAGTTGATAGTAATTGTGCTCTGATTGTGCATATATTTAAGAAACCAGAAAGGACCTTTTGTTTTTTTAAGTTGCAATTGCATTCTTATTCTTTAGCTGAAATCAACCTCCTGAACCCAGATTTTTCCCTGACAGCTTGAAGTTCCTGTTACAGCAAGTGGTAATGCAAAAAAATTGCCTGGAAGTAAGAACATTCTAAAGAGTAACACTACCTTAATAATATATATGAAAAAAAAGTGTTCAGTCATGGGAAATTAGATTCAGTTAGACTTGTAGTAAGACAGTTTGAGCATTAGGCCTATTGAAACAAAATGCTGTTTCTGTATCTTTGCTTTATACACATCAAGAAGTTGTATGTGTTGTTTCTAGGATTAGATTGTATCTCTCTAGCAGGGTCAACTGAAACAAGATAGTGAATTTATTAAAATTTGCCCCAGAGACCTTTGTAAGTGGTGTTCTATTGTACAAATACTTCAAAAACATGAATGTATATGTTGTACCAGGACCAGAACACAGGCATGACAGTGCTGCCTCCTGGTGGACAAATGGCCACTGCCTCAACCTGATTCTAAGTACCCTCCCCTCCCCTTCACTCTCACCTGCCACACCTTGATGTAATTGTTAAATTACAAAAGAAAGGCTACTTTTTAGTCCTAGAAGCAGTCATTATGTTTCCTTCACCAACAGATCACCTCCTGGGTCCCACTACCCCAAGCTTGGTCTGTCTGTAGTAGGGTCTTCCCAGTCCATAAGTGTCTTGAGGCACCCGTTGCCTTAGGAGTTTATCACATGGCTCCAAACTGCCCGTTATACCATGCCCAAGCCTTACAGATGTTGTCTTTCTAATCAGTCTTTGTCAGGGCCTGGGCCTATTCAGCCTCGACTCCTCAGCTCTACCTGGGCCTTCTAGCCCAGGCCCAATGTACTGGATCTGGCTTCTAGGTGCCAGTTCTGTCAATCAAGGCTCTTGGGGTCTCTACTCCTTGCCTCTTGCTTTGGGTCCCTGGCCCCAAAATTTGCCTGCATGGGTCCCTGGACCTTGCTTCATCCCTCAAAGGCACCTGTCCCTCATGGGCTTTGGGTCCCTGGCTCTATTGTTACTCTTCCAAAGAAATGCTAGGCTCTCTGGCCCCTGTCTTCACCCTGCAAGGACTCTGGGCTAGGCTTAGTGCATTAAGCCTGACCTCTGGCAGGGCTCAGGCATAGCAAAATACCTAGGCATAGCAAAATGACCATGATAGCCCACTGTCTTGCAGCAAGGCTTCCCTTTACCCAGTGTTGTATTCTTTCATAATGGGGCAGTATTCTGCTGTCGGTCCTTAGCCCAGTTTTCCTCTGCAGTTTTCCTAGTCAGAAGCTCCTCACCTCCCTGGCTTGGCTAAGCCCCAGGCTTATATGCCACTCAAGTCCTGCCCACCTTTGGTCAGGTGCCCTATCAACTGACCCACCTGCAGGGCTGTTTATTAACCCCAGCCTTGCCAGCTTCCTTTGTGTGGTTCACAAAAACCCTTCCCTTAAGGGGCCATTCCGCTTTTCCATAACAGGGTAACGGTTCCCTGTTACAATCTGTAAACACAAACATACACATATATGTATTGCTGGTACCACGTGCAACTGACAAAACTCTCAGCATGCCATTTGGAGTGTGAAGACCTTTCAGTGTAATGCTTGATCTTTCAAATTTAAAACTATCAGATAAGTTAACCAAGCAGTTACCTTCTCTTCACTCCTTGTAATTTCACAGTTGACTATGAGTCTTGAAGGCCTACGAATACTTTAATTCTCAGTTATCTGGAGATGTGGCCCCACAGTCTGCACATCTGTTATTTAGCCTTCCCATCCATAAAAAGCCAGATTTTGTTTTAAAGGGTTCATTAATCATATATGCAGCAGTAAGGCCTACTCTGAAAGTGAACCACTACCTTTCTTATTTTCACATAATTCCCCAAATCCAAACTTTGACATTAAGACAAGGAGTCAACCATGCATACTCCAGCCCAAAGATGTGATCCCTTATGCATTTATTAACTGATAAACAAGGTGTCAGTGTAATTTATTAAGGTTCTGGAAGCAATGCTCTTTTGAAGAATGCTATTTTGAAGAACTCTGTTAATGGAGAGTTTTTCAATTTTATAGAAAAAAACCTAGTAGGCAGGTCATGAATAACTTTACAGGGCTCATCCTTGCAGCATATTATATGTACTTCTGTTACTTGTTTAATTTTATGTTATGGTAATATACACAAACACTAATCAGGACTAGGTCTTCAGTTGCTGTCTAGCCACAGAAGCAGACATGATCTTGTTCTGATGAGTTTACTTACTATCTTTTTCACTTCTGCAACATCCTATTTTCCATGGGGTTTCATTTTTTTTTTCTATGAGGAACAGGTATTTCCATGTAAAATATTTCTCAGTTAAGCTTTTTTCCCCTTTTTTTTCCACAGACACTGTAGAAGATGAAATGGAAATGGCCACCGTGCGGCATCGGCCTGAGGCTCTTGAACAGTTGGAAGCACAAAGCAAATTCACAAAGAAGGAACTTCAGGTTCTCTACAGAGGTTTCAAGAATGTAAGCACTTTCTTTCAGATTTTAGCATGAAATTAATTAATGTCCAGCTCACAAAAAATCAGTAGTAATTTGAAAATGAAGGGAAAGAAAGCTGCTCATGGGTTTAAGTAGGAAGATATGATGTCTTTGTTCAAGTTAGAAAAACAAATAAACCACTCCATGCTGTAAACAGGAAGGGAAGTTTAAGTGCACATAACTTTGAAGGTTCTATTCACTGAGTGTATTTATGGTTCATTGCTAATATATATGCTCCAACACTATGTGCAAAAATGGTTGCTTAAAGAGAAACTTAAAAAGAAATATGATCCAAACCTCAGATCATAAAAGCATCAAAACATTAGAGAGGTTCTGATTCAGGTTTGCATAAAACATGATGTATGTCCTTGTCTTCACAGTGAATGGAAACAAAAATCTGAATGGGAATATCTTCAAACTGTGCAAAGTTTAGGAAAAGTTTTGGATCCAGACTTTAAAGCTTGGGGCTCCTGCAAAGTATAACAAGCAGTCTGTTATAAAGCTGATGATGGAGAAATAAGGAGTATAAGTAGACCATAATTCTGGTATTTATTGTACTCCTAAATTTGCTGTTGATTTGCAGTTTGGTTTTGGAAGGTAATTTAACCTTTTTACCTCTCTGTAACATCCTCAGTTTAACCATCAGGATATTTATAACTACCTCAGAGAAGTAATACAAGACTTAATTAGTAGATATGCGAATCATTTGTGATCCTTTAGCGAGCTAACACACACATTCTCATTCTGGTATATTATTTAGTTTAATTTATGTCACTTGGGAAGGTAAACCAAAAATAGCTACTTAAACCAGAATAACTGTATCCTTGCAGGAAGGGGCATAGCCAGGATTGTGGTGACAGGGGTGTGGCCAAGTCATGGAAGGGGGTATGGCTTCACACCCCTTACTGTGATCCCGGATCCCAGTGAGGTCAGAGAGCTCTAAGGTCATTAGCTGGTCAGTTCAAGGTTTGGCCAGAGCCCCTGCTTTTACCCCAATCTGGAGCCCAGGGGGTGAACACCACTGCTGTTCACTTTCCCCCTCCCTTTGAGTGGCCAAATGGCAGCAGTGCTCAGCCCTGGCTTTCATTCAGCTGCAAAGACCAGGGAGTAAGTACCACCGTGCTTATCCCCTCTTTTCCTTTGCTGATGAATTTGAGAGGTTGAGGATGAAGAAAAGAACAAGCAGCAGTGACACTCACCCCTTGGGCTCCAAAGGTGCCTAAAAGTAGGGACTCCAACCAGCCCCCATGTTGACATGCTGGTGAGCTCAGAAAGCTCACTGTACATGTGGGGCCCTGCCAAAGTGGAGTGCAACTGCACTACTGCACCCTGCTAAATATACCCCTACACCCAGTTTAACTGTATTGGTATCATTATACTGGTTTCATGAATAACACCTTCCTGTGTAAGCAAGCCTTAGATTATAAGTATTTTGTGTAAGGAACTTTGTAGTATTTTCCCTTTCTACAGTACCTACTACAGTGGGACCCCCTATCTTCACTTGGCCTCTAGGTACTACCAGTGTATAGCTAATAATAATGAGCACAAAGCCAGAAGGAGTATAAGAATTTGAGACTCCTACCTACTGCTGGATACACATGACTATTCTTGTAATAGATGTGACAACTTTAAATCTCTTTGAAATCCATGTTTGATTAATAAGTAATTGGTATCCCTATTAAAATATTAAATGGACTTTGTGCATCAAAAATTGTTACTGTGCATGAAAAGTGTATTTTTCCCACAACACTTTTACTATATAATATTTTTTCTCTGTGTCTATCCTGGCAAGCACAGTCATGACAGAAAAAAGTGATTTATCCTACATAATTATGTCCAGCTAATTACTGTGTATATCTTTAGGCTGCTTGCTGCTTCAGTTAAGATGAGAAAGATGTCATCTTTCTGAATCAAGTGTTTCTGTAATGTGCATGACATTTCAGAGATTGATCAATTACATGGTTTTTAATTAGACAACAACAAAAAGAAAGCCTTTAAGGATATTTTAATCAATTGGATTTTTGTATGCTTGCACATTACATTCAACAGTAAGATGATAAACTGTGTTATTATCATCATCCTTTCGGGCCCCAGAAACAATCATTTGAAGCAAAGGAAGCAAAAGGTCAAAGGTGTGTGAGTGTGTAGACTTGTGTAGTTGCTTGGGTTGCTTTAGAGTCACTCAGAGTATTGGCTGAGCTAAGGTGCTAGGGAGAGAGAAGTGGAAAATACAAAAAAAAAGCACTGATCTAGTGCATCTGGAAAAGGTTATTTTAGCAGTGGCCAGAGCCATTAGGGCAACACTTAAAGGCCAGAGAAGAAATACAGAAAGAAATGTGAGGGGGTGGGAGAAGAGCCTTCAGACAAGCTAACAGCCATTAAAAGGATAAGCACTAGGGAGGAACCAATGCCTGTGTTCAGTAATTTAGAAATTTTAAAGCTTTAACATTATCATTTGAAAAATAGACTTAATGGAAGTCTCAGGCCTCCCCTGGCTCAAAAGGTTGTCTCTAGCACTCTAGTTTCATAGTGTTCTTGTACTGTTGTTGATGAATTGTTGCTCAGCTACCATCACAGTGGGACCTCTCCATTTTGTATTTGGCTTCCTGTCATCCCATTTACTGTAAATTGAAATTGTGATTGCTGCAATCATTAACCTTTCAAACCAATGGCTCTGTGGCATGCCTAGTACAAGTAGCACTTCACAGTAAATTGCGCAGACTATCAAGCATGCACTCAGCATGTGCTCTTTTTTTCTCTTTTGTCCATTGATAAGTCTCTCACAGCTTTATAAATGTTCCTAAGCTATTGCACATTGCCATTTCAGAAAAATACTTAGATGACTTCACTACATAAAGGATGTTCCTGTGTAAAACCTAAATGTTAATGATCCTTTAATTTTGATTTATTGTTCGCACCACAAGTTCTGTTGAACTAATAAATATTGGGCAAATTAGGTTTCCAGGGACATGTGGCTAGATTTTAAATGTGGATAAGTGCTGAAATATATGCATCTTATGGACAGTACCTTACCATCCTTGTACAAAGAAAATAGTTTGAAACTATCTACCACTATTTTTTTTTCTAGAAGCAAATTAGCACAGTTGTTTGAATGGTAGATGTAAATGATCGTATTATTATACACCTGTGTTTTTTGATAGAACAGAATTTCTAGAATATCTTTCATCCGAAGTGCTCATATCGCTGTTAATAAATCAGGTTTGTTTAGACTATAGAGAAATAGTTTCCTATTGTTCTGCACTTTGAAATGTTGAAACAAGATATGTTTGCCCCCGAGGAGCTTACAAGACACAGAGATCAAAGCTAGAGGAAAATTTAAGTCATCCTTCTTTTAGTTAATGCACTATATTTTTAATAATAGCATGATGACAACATTTTACTGTGGACCTCAAAGAAGAAAAGGGTTTAATGCAGTATTTTATGAGATCATAAAACTGTTCATGGACTGTGTAGAAAGTTCACCATTTTCACCAAATACAGCACAAATGTCCTCAGTGTTCCTTCCAGAAAAAAGCTTGCCTTCATTTCTCTGTTAGTCTATAGTAGGAGAAAGAGGATGAGCAGAAATTACTTGTTTTGACTGATGAAATATACATCAAACTGAATCCTTAAGTAAAGACTGTGACATTCATGACCTGTAGATATGGTTACCTGACAAGGATATATATAATCAAAAATAAAACTATATCACAGATTTGGAGTTTTCATTACCCCTTTCCAATTAGATATGGGACCTGGTGATCATGTTCTTAGTTAACAGGTTGATGAGACCCATGGCTTGTTGACATGTGGAGTTTCCAAGTTCAAGTGTAGATAAAATGTGTGTAGTTAGCTAGGATAGTCCAGGTAATATGAAAAACAGGATTTGTTTGGCAATTTCTTTATTGGAGCACCTAGGTAGTTGGGAGAGATACTAGACAACTTTTCATGAACTAAGCTAGGGCCTTTAGGCCACTTGTACATGTGATGGGGGTTTAGTCCCCTAAACTGAAATGGTGGGTTTTTAATTGCAATGATTAAAAACCCACTATTTCAATTTAGGGGCTTCCATCACTTTACGGTGAGAGACCTGATCCCTTTTTTTTTGTGTGTGTGTGTGGAGTTTTCCCATGTCTCCCGTGGCTGAGGGAGGTGAGCTGCTGGCAGGTGAAGTGGCCCCTGAGCTGCACGGGGCCTTGATCCTTCCTTCTGGTGGCAGCATCCACTAGTGCTGCCTGGGTGCCCTGCTAGCTTGCAGGTGCCACCTAGGGGTGCTGCCACAATGGAGGGCA